AGTATACAATGAAAACCAAACAGCCGTGACGTAATGTGTACGAGGGAGAAGCGTGTATTTCGTGTGCTAGAAAGATATAGAACCACAGCCGCAAACAAACCAAAATGTAAGTAACCATTCAAATATACTAAGGCCCAATTTCACCAACATTAATATTATGGACCAATGGGAAAATACCTTATCGAAATGCAATTTGACAGAAGCTGTCAAATGTCTCTGAATATCAGTGATTTCTATTAAAATATTGAATAAAATCGCGAAAATTCGACTGTATTATCAACAAGACTACTTTTTGATTCCAACATGATGCTTTTGTACAGAAAAACCAGGACAACTTTCATGTATAAGTTTGCAAAGGTTGAATAAATTATGAACACCCAGTAGGTGATGTTGAGTTAATATAATCACATATGATTACAAAAGTTGCAATAAACATGGAGAAACCTTCAGCTAAACTGAAAAAAATGGATTTTACTCAGCCATCAAGCAATTTTTTTTAAATTATGGCTCAGTTTTATATAAATTCATAATATTTAATAAACTGAAAACATTTCAATGGCAAGCTGTCACTTCATATTTTACAGTGTTTTGTTTTGAATACTATGATGCTATTTGCTGCCAAAAATTTGACGGGCAGATCTTGAGGCTGATTGGGTATATTTGAGGGACTGTTTAGTACTCGTACCCTATTGGTGCAGAATACCGGTTTGTCAAATGGTGCAATCGGCCCTAAGCGACATATAAATTGCAAGCCCGACTACGCCTTACCAACCGGCTCATCAAGCTATCAGCACTGCCAGAAGACACCAAGAAGAGCGTTACGAGGACGGAAGCGGTTCCACCAAGGCTCCACGGCCTGCCCAAGATCCACAAGGCAGATGTTCCGTTGAGACCAATAGTCAGTGCTCCCGGATCGCCGACTACTTAGCGAAACACTTGGCATCCCTGCTGCAACCATACGGGGGAAAGAACACCAGCTACATCAAGGATTCCACCAAGATTCAGGACATCGTAGTTGAACCCGACGACATCCTTGTGAGCTTCGATGTCGTCTCCCTTTTCACCGAGGTACCGCCGAGGGAATGCCTAGATCTGGTGAACAGGATCCTCCCTTCTGACATCTGCAAGCTCTTTGAAATCTGTCTCACTGGAAGCTACTTCGTATGAGACGGGGGCTTTTATGAGCAGACAGATGGAGTGGCAATGGGAAGACCACTTAGCCCAGTCATAGCCAACCTTTTTATGGAACACTTTGAGAAGAAGGCGGTTGAAACATCGGAGAACAAACCAGCAATTTGGTTCCGGTACGTGGACGACACCTTCGTGATTTGGAAACATGGCACGGACAGGCTAAACGAGTTTCTGCAGCACCTCAGCGATCGGCATCCAAGCAGACAATTTACCATGGAGATAGAGAGTGACCAACAACTGGCCTTCTTGGACGTACTAGACAGGAAGCGAGCTAACAAGCTGGGTCACACAGTGTACAGGAAACCAACGCACACAGACAGATACCTGCACGCTTTGTCCAATCATCACCCAAGTCAGAAGTATGAAGTCATCAGAACCCTGACAGAACGAGCGACATTTAAAACGCGTAAGAAGCTAGTTGAAAGTTTGATAATGTCCAGCCACAACTACGCTTTAACCCTTATACTATCCTTGTCTTGACTCGATGAATCGGTGTAGGATCCAAAGAATGCAAAACAACTGCTGTAGGTTTGTGAATGGTCTTCGAAAATATAGTCATGTCTCATCTAAGATCAAGGAGTTGAAATGGCTGAAAATGGGTCAACAATTTGAATATAGTCTTAAGGTATTTGTGCATAAGATATTGTGGACTAAAACGCCCATAGTAAATTGGTAACTAGAGTATAATTGTTTCAAAAATGTTTCAGTTTCAATGCTGTGGGGTTAAACAACTCAACCGACCCTGCCTGGAGAAGCAAAAGTGTAGTAAAATTCAGGAAGCTGGTTAAAAATCAGCTGTTAGATGTATAATAAATATAGTCAACGCCAAACAAAGTGGCGTGCACGTCATCACGATAAAAATTCCCCGACCTAATGCCTAGGTTTCTATCACAAACAATTGCTCTATTGCAGTTTCATATTAATGTGATATATAAATTGTAAAATGGTCATTACTCTCTTATTATGGTTAATAGTCATATAAACATTGTTATTAAAATATCACATAAGTTGCTTTCTGATAAATTTAGACGCATTATGCGAAATAAAATGTTTTGCAAACGCTCCAATCACTTATCGACATGTAAACGCACTAAACCGATTTCGCAGCGTTGACACATTGTCACCTTGAAACTTATTTAAACTGGGAACTGACATTTGTATTAATTTTGACACTGAATCAATTTGTGGCATTTCAAATCTTTATAAATCCTTTGGCCCCGCATACTGTAAATCAACAACTGTTTGTTTCAAAACAAAATTATTCATTTTACGAGTAGATAAAGGCAATTTTGGTATATAAAGATGCCCAAACAGTTAAATAGTCGGTGTAAGGAACTCGTGGCCTCGTTAATGCACTACTTTGAGCAAGAAAGGGACAACAACGGGCCTTTGTTGCCTTTAAATGCTGTTCAAGAGGTAGGTTACTAATAATTATATGTAATGTATATTAATAATAGTGAAATTTTATTTCATTTTTTGTAGCGTGTTGCTGCTGCTTTAAAAATTAGTTTAAGGACAGTTAGTCGTATTTCCGAGGGTGTGAAAAGTGATGCAAATTTAGAATCGCCCAAGAAAAAGCGGAGTTATATTAAACGTGTAACCAACACAGCGACATTGCATACAAGTGCCATTCGAGAAGTGATCTATAATATGTATCACAAAAGTAAGATCTTATTATAATAACTTATCAGAAATTTGCATTAATTTGTTAACTAAATTATAATGTCATATTACACATGGTTTCAGAAGAACAAGTTACGATACAAACTTTATGGTCTCGATTAAGAGATAGGGCATTATTTGATGGTAGTGCCACGTCTTTAAGGCGGTTGCTTAGAGATCTTGGATTTAAGTGGCTTAAGGACAATCCGCGACGAGGGCTCATGGAACTACCAAGTATAGCTTTGAAAAGGGTGGAATTTCTAAGGCAATACAATCAAGCCAAGGTTGAGCCCTTATACCAGTTTGTCTTCCTCGATGAAACTTGGATATTTCAAAATGGGACCATAGGTCGCTCTTGGCAAAATGGAAACCAAAAAAGCGTGAAAGCTATTAAAACAGATGGTAAAAGGTATGTACTTTTACACAATTTGCACTATAAAATTTAAAACTAATATATTTTAGATACATTATATTACATGCTGGAAATGAAAATGGGTTTATTGAGGGTAGTGAAGCGATATTTTCTTCGAAAACAAAATTGAGCGATTACCATGGAGAGATGAACCAGGACAATTTTTTGAAATGGTTTCAACATCAGTTATTAGAAAAATTGGAGAGTCCATCTATGATTATACTGGATAACGCCCCTTATCACAGCATGATATTGAACAAAGTGCCCAACAATGCATGGACAAAAAAAATATCCAAGACTGGTTGACAAATCAAAACATACCATTTTTAAACACAATGTTTAAAACAGAGCTATTGAGTATTGTTGCTCGGTACATAATGCTTCTTAATTATATATATTTTGGTCGACAGTTTATATTTCTTTTGTTTATTCCTATTCTTAAAATAACTGCTTTTTTAGAAACAAACCACCTAAAATATACGTGATTGATGAATTGGCGGAACAACATGGGCACAAAGTTCTTCGTCTGCCTCCTTACCATTGTATATTTAACCCTATTGAGTTAATTTGGGGCATAGCAAAAGGTTACTATAACAGACATATTGGTAGAGATGGTAACAGTGAAAAAGACTGTTTGGATATGTGGAACGAGGCTCTACAAACGGTTACCCCAGACATGTGGAAAAATAGTGTTCGACATACTGAGCAAGAAATTTTTAAATGGTATGAAAGAGAACGAATTTTTGATCGACCAGACATCGAACCTTTAATAATCAACTTTGAGAGTGATGAAGATTCAGATTCAGACAGCGCTGAAGAAAGAAACTCCGACTAACTTTATTGTACAGAAAAAGCTTACACCAGTAGCTTACCTAATTTTAGAATGCATTTTTCTGTATGAATTCTGTAAAATAAATACCATGCATAAAATTTGGAGGACCCCATTTGGATTTTTATTCAGTACCTTTAAGCTATCAATTAAATATGGTAGTTTCATAGTGTCATCTGATCAATAATTGTCATACTTAATGATTATGCAAGTACAGATCTATAATTTTATTATACTATTATTTTTGTTCTCATTTGAGGTTAATATTGCTTATAAACCTAGATATGTAAATAATAAATTTTATTATTTTACAAAAAGTTTGGCAACAATGTAAATTTTTCAACACACCCACCTTGATGACGTGCACGCCACTTTGTTTGGCGTTGACTATAGTTATTATCTTTATGTTTTTTTGTGTTGTCATCCGTTCAGTATTGGTTCTTGACTGGTTCCTTTTTGATAAACCATTATAGCGCGGATTTATCAATTGATTGTAATTTCTCCCTTTATTATTAGCTCACCTAGTTGAAAGCCAGATCGATGTATTTATTTTTAGGTTGCATGTATGTGACTGTGAATTGTATATACATATTTAATCACACAATAGGGTTGGGTGTAAGAGTAGCCAACTGGCTAAACTTCGCCCTATTGTTGTGTTGCTAATAAAGACATTTATTATTATTATAAATTTAAAATTGTCCTGTCTCTTTTTTGCAGTTTTTGGACATGACTTGGAGGAGTGTACTGAAGAACCGCAAGAATTCTGAATCCTAGTTAAATTCGAAAATACCAGACTGTATATAAATAGTTAGGTGCCTATTTGTTGTGTTATACAAGTTAAAACTTGTTATTTTTTGGGAACTTACAGTTTCAGCAGCGATTTTAAAATTAAATAATATATTTTTACCATCTTTTGTTTTATTTTCCTTTGTAAATATTCAGTGTCTTTTAAATATTTAAAGTGATACTATAACTGTTTATTAATACATTATGGATAGATCTATAAAATCTTTTTCAGTTACAATGAAATTTTCTGATTCAATGCTAGAAATGAAATAGACCAATGTCAAATATAAGTGCCTGAAATAAAATAACAAAGTTTACAAATTATTATTTACATGAATTAAAAATTACTTAATACTTATACTAAAAAATTAATCCAGTCCTTCTTTCTTCTCTTTGATTGCTTCCTGGAACAAAAAAAAGGAAAAGCAAATCATAAACAGTATTTTTCTGTATACCATAATAAAGACCTCTGATTACAGACTATACCTATAGTGTAAAAATAAACCCCGTGGTAAATACCGATAGATTAGAAATTATCAGCTTCATAATAGCATATCCCAAAAAAGGGGGTTTTCAAAAAGATATATAGATATCTTTTGAACTTTAGTGTTGTTCATTTTATAGACGTGTTAAATTTTTTTTAATTTTATACCTAATGGTCTTTTATTCTATTCATCATTGACTGACAGAACGGTCCATAGGTTAAAGTATTGTAAGTCAGCGGATCCGTCAGGTCTGGTTGCCTAGATACCAGACAGAAATGGAGGAAGAAGAGCAGGATGAAAAGAAGGTAGGAGGTAGAGCTAAGAAGTGTGTCAAGTTGAAGAGTGGCTTGGTATTGCTAACTAGTATTTGGGAATTTTAAACTGATCCAAAAATTAATTCAGAGCTTGGATGTTGATAAAATATAATTTTGGTTGGACCTAAACTCGCACGGTTCAATTTAGTCCGCTGTGCGAGGCAGTGCTTGCGAATTTGCTCAACTGTGTAGTCTACTGATTTGCGCAAAAAGAGTTGCTATGTGATTCCGCTTAGATAAGGGATGTCAAGGTCTCTGTGAAGGGTGTCATTAGAGACATACCATGGGCCGTTAATGATTGAAAAACACCAAGTCGTACTCGTGTAAGTGATCGCTGGTCTAATAACCATCTTGTATAGCCCAACTTTGTTGATCAATCTTAATTTTGAGTTCTACATAGCATAGGGTAGAGTTGCCGAAACGTGATTTAGAATTTGGTTCTTAATGCGTCAGTGTGCTTCTGCCAGGTCATCCCCTTGTCAAGAGTGACACCGAGATACTTAGCAGAGCTTTCCCATGGTACCTGAGCTCCATTTACTGAAACCTCAGACGGGGCGCCGCTACGTTTTTTAGTACAATAGATTGCCTGCGTTTTCGAATGATTAATTCTCCTCAGCCACAGATGGCCCATTCCAATACCTCGTCCACCGCACTTTGCAGCCTGTCGTGAACCAGATTCCCAGAACACGACGGACTGGGCCACCAGTGTAGTGTCTTCAGCATAGAGATAGATTACACTGTTGCTGCGGCAAGGGACGTCATGAATGAAAAGTGAATAAAGGATTGGTCCAAGAACCGAACCCCGAGAGACACCGGCTTAGTGTTGTCGACAGAACTTTATTACTTTTGGTCAGAAATTTACAACCCTCAAGGAAGGATTTCAAAAGTTTTAGGGGCCAGAAGGGCAAACGTTGAGGCTGGAGGACAAGAGATGAAACGTCCTATTGAAATTCGAATTATGCCATCTTGTAGATGAGAAAAAATGGCTTATTTTGAAATCCCACTAGAAATTGAGCCAGGAAAAAATTAACACGAATTTCAGAAAATTCGTTTTTTTTCGTCCTTTGAAGTATTTTGAATTTCGAAACTTTCTAAGCAGCATTTTGTTGATTACCTAAATACGCAACTTTGCCCGCTATTTATTTATCAACGAGCGACTGTCCAATTGAAGTTCAGCATAGAAAATCTAATGTAAACCTAACACTACTTTGACTTAGATATTTAACCCTTAAAACAATCACAAGCACTTTACAATCCGGATCATTTCTAAATTGAAACGAATTTAATTAAAATATAAATATATGGGAAATCAAATAATAAATATTACAGACAGGAATCTAATTGAATTTTGAATGTTTTCTGACTTCTAAAGAAATCCAACTTATTAAAATACCGATTTGCTAACCTTGAAGATCTAGACAGGAAGGAATTACTAGCATAATTAGTATGAAATGATCTCACATGGAATGGTTGATTCAGTCTTGTTTGACGAGAAGGCACATGGAGATTAATATTTTTCAAAAGTTCTGGAGCAAAACTATAAGAGAGTGTAAAATATAAAATAGTGATTCCATCTTACCTGAAGGGTTGAGATATTGAGAGAGCTTTCAATGACGGAATAGATCATATCTTCAGCCATAATGTTTTGTTTGAATGAAATGAATCTTAAGAATTTATGTTGCACTCTCTCACATTATAGTTGGGTGACCAAACACAATATGGGGCATCACCAAAGAACAAAACAAGGTTTTAAATGACAGAATATTGTAAAAATCCTTAGCACATCCTTTTATAAATCCCAACAGTTGAGATTTAGAAACAATCATATTTATATAGGCAATAATTTTGGGTGAAGAATTACCCCTAAATCCCTACCTTGGGATACACTCTTTAGAGGACAACCTTTCATGGTATAAGTATGATTTATGGGGTGTATGTTAGAGCTGAAGACCATTAAATGACATTTTTCCACACTGAGTTTCATTCTATTCATTTGAAACCAGAGACTTAATAAATTCAAATCATTTTGGATATTTAAACAATCATTATTATATTTGATTTTTAAGAATAATTTCGAATCATCTGCAAACATTAGAAAACTAACAGACTTAAAACAGTATATAATATCATGTATATATCGAAAAGAAGAGGACCCAGATGGGAACCTTGAGGTACTCCAGATGGCACTTTAATCTCTTTTGATTGAAAGCTTTGTATATGCACTATTTATTTTCGGTCAGTGAGGTAGGACTTCAGCCATGATAAAAGATCCCCACAAATTCCTAGACAATGTAACTTATTTATCAAGATCTCATGCTTGACCTTATCGAATGCCTAAGAAAAATCTGTATAAACTACGTGAACAGAATAACCTTCCTCCAAGGATTTCAAGACATAGTTTGTGAATGTTAGAAGATTTAACTCTGTGGAGCGTTTTGAAAGAAATCCAAACTGTTGGCTTATTTCCGGATAAAAATTCACACACTACGATATCAAATACCATTCCAATGTAACTCAGTTTACTGATAGGTCGATAATTTTTGACTTGTGAAGGATTTCCAGATTTCAGTATTGCAGTAATGCAGCTTGTGTTCCACTTTTCAATGAAAGATTAAAATTATAAAATAGAGGTCTAGAAATCGGAAAGCTACAATGTTTAATCAACAACAGAGGTACACCATCAGGTCCAGTTTTATTGAATAGTATGCAAACAAATTGGTAATTTGTAAACCAGAAGAACTACTGACATTATTATAATGTACTTCTGAAGGTATGTACTGATAATCCTTACAGCTATTAACATATTTCCAAATAATGTTCACGTTTTCTCTAAGAGAAGATTCAGTTGTATTGACATAATCCAGATAACACTGTTTTTTTAGATTTTTACACTGAGCTCTGAGAATAGAAAACTCATGATAATCATTTAGCAAGTGAGATTTGATGTACTTCTTGTGTAGTTTCTTTTTTCATCATTTGTTTAAGTTCTGGAGAAAACCAAATGGGAAATTTCTTTGCAGAGTACTTCTTCAAAGGAACAAAAACATCAATTTTTAAATATATCATATCATAAAATATATTAAGCACATCACCAAGTGATTTATTAATAATCAGTCTGTCCCAATTAAAACTGGAAAGAAATACTATCACTTCCTGCACATTTGTGGATTGAAAATCTCTGTAAAAACCACTACTAGTAAGCCCAAATGACTTTGTATCTCTTACAGTTGCCGAGATTCTAGTGGTGAGGGTCAAATTTGAAACACCCCATATATTGTAAATCTGGATTAATAAGGTTGTTTGCGATGTGGTAGTTCGGAGAGAAACTATAGAAAACTTGAATATCATCAGCATAAGATTGACTTGAACAAGGTTGATGAGTGTTAGCAATGTAAAAGTGTAAATGATGAACAGGAGAGGCCCTAATATGGATCCCAAAGGCAAACTGGAACAAATAGGTTGTTTTTCTTGTACACACTGCTATCATATAAACGGAATTTACGGGATTTTAAACTACAGTCAATGATAAATTACCAACTAATGTATGAACAACACAAATAGTTCAGCAAAAATGTTAACCACGCTAAATCTTACCTTGAATCTTTCTTCGAATAAAGATAACTCAGAAATGAGATCTGTGATAGCATGCATCAAAGCTTCCTGAGGTGAATAGTCCGAAGTAGTTTGAATCCTCAGGACGAATTTGTGTTCAAGTGGATGAGGAAGTTTATATCCGGCAAACAGCACATTGGGATCTTTCAATAGTTGACTGAAAATAACACAAGAGTTCAAGGATAGTCCAAGATCAAGTAATGATGTTTCAAAACATTTGTATTATATTGGTAATAACAATACTTTGTGTTGTCACACAGGTAAGTCTGTCTGAGTACTGGCAAAATAGCTCCCTTTTGACTAATTTGTAAAATTACGGGAATATCTATAAGCAATGTATTTCAAGTTCGCGAAAAGTTAACATAACCTCCAAAAACATTAGTTGTGATGTCTTGACCACAAAATTCGTAATTATAAGTATTCCAATGTTGTCTAAACTGGCCAACCACTGGCATATTCACCCTAGTCATGTGATATAATGAATATGATAACAAAATAAGCTGTTTTTCCTAGTTGACACTAAAAACCCAAATGCTGCATATTCAACCCTGTATAAGACAATTTTCTTACTTTCTGATCATGTTGCCCAGTGTATGGTCTTCCTTATTTATAGTAAAAATAGCCGCGTTAGGTACTTTTGTATCCTGCTCCCGGATAATCCTAAAACAAAGTTGTTTTTTGTTATACCAAACCAATGATATGAATTTTAGAACTCACTTCTTTTCACCATCGTACAACAGAAATGATTCGAAGGTAGGTGGAGCATTCATTTTTATTAGCTACGTTAGTAGGCCTCAATGCAAGGAACAATACTGGAGAAACTGAAAACCGCCTGAAAAGTCAGCGGAAAAGCGACTTAAAAACAATCACAAGCTTTAACCTCAAACCTCAAATAGAAAATTGCGTTGACAGGATGACAGTTCACGTCTGTCAAAGTGTGGATGACTAGTACGCAACCCGACATACGTAATTGTGATAACGGTTGCCTGGACAGATATGTGGTGTAAAGCTAAATGAGCCTGTGCACCAGTGTTGCCATACGTATCGGAATTCCGCTATTTGTAGCGGATTATTTTGAGAAGAGCGGCGTAGCGGCGGTAGAGCAAATTAGCCCAAAATGTATCGGAATTTATTACATACAAAACTATCATATTTACGTTAATAACGTTCTAAATCCTAAATAGGCAGTGGCTAGAGTCTGATTTATTATCACATTAATAATAAAATTGGTGCCTTTGGTGCCGCTTGAGCCATCTAGGAACAGAGAAGAGAATTATTCCACTTGCCTTTTTTTTCACTAACAGATGGCGTACGTACTGCTTTCAATACTAATCGTTTCTGAACTGTGCACTGAATTTCTTCCCACAGGAAAAATTCAAGCGTTGACTAACGTATTCTATGAAGATAGCCAATCTGATGCTATATTCTTGCGTCTAAAATATTATGTGAAATAAAAGGAGATATCGTATCGTCATCTATGAGAATAGTTGTAGCTGTTTCTGTATTTACTATATTATATTACATACTTTGAAAACGTTAGTGTCTTTTAGGTGGCGCAGTCTATATGCTAGTAAATGCTCATATAATTGCCTAATGCCTACAGCGCCATCTATGAGACACTACCTTTTCAAGGTATATAACAGCTATACCGACTTAAATGACACTAGGGTATACTTTATCTGAAGTCACTTGAAACACTGTGAAATACTGGGTGCGTTTTATATATCTATATTTAACACGCTCTGTTGCTGCAAAAATCGCCAAATTTCGCAGAAAATATCCCCCGTATAAGAGATCAAAGGCAGTTTCACCGGTCCACGTGGAGTAAAGCACGCCTATGCGTGGACATAGCCAATGAGAAAGCGTGTATTTCAGAGCTCGGAACAAGTGCAGGTGGCTACTGAAAATTGAAACAGTTTAGCCAGTGCCGTGTAGCGGTGAATAAACGTGTTTTCTTTAGTCTGTCCGTGTTTTTTCATAGATTTTATTAATTTGTGTGTTTTTGACTTTTGAATGCTCAGTTTACTTGTTGATTTAATTGTTGTGTTGATTGTTCTTGTGTGTCCTAAATATGGCTCTTTGGAGACCTTGGGAGAATGCTCCAAGCCACGAGGAGATGGTTGATGAACCTGTGCAGGCAGAATTCTTTCATAAAGATTTAGAGGAACAGACCCAAAGACTAATCCTAAATATGTATGATTGTCTGAAAAACGAAAATCCAGATTCCTCGCAAAATCAAATTTTAAACAGAATTTGTATCCTGACAAAAATCAGTCGGTCTACCATTTATCGGGTTATAAAAAGGGGAGATGTAGTCAACCATTCCTTCCACAGAAAGCGCATAGGGCAAAAATTAAAAAGAATAGACGTGGGTTTTCAGGAAGATATTCGTCGTATAATATACGGATTTTATAAAGAAAATTTGGTGCCCACGTTGGAAATGATACGGGATAAATTAAAAGATTATCCTGAAGATTTTTATAATTACAAATGCTTAGACTCACTGCACTGTATAGTAAAACTGTGTAGTTTACAATACAAAAAATTAGATAAAAGAATGGTGATTATGGAGTCGTCTCGAATCGTTGAATTGCGCCAAGAATTTTTGCACAAAGTTAAAATCTATAGAGAGCAGAAAAGAAATCTGATTTACCTGGATGAAACGTGATATGATACCCATGATGTTGTGCAGTACGGCTGGGTTGACGACAGCAACAAGTGCATTTTAAATGCACCATGCAACCGTGGAAAACGAATCATTATTCTCCATGCTGGCAGTGAAAATGGATTTATACCTAATGCCTTGCTGTTACCTGCCAATAAAAATAAATATCAAAGAATCATGTGCCGACTATCATGAGGACATGACCTCCGACTTATTTGAAAAGTGGATAGAGCAGCAGTTAATACCAAACATTTCCCCAAATTCAGTGATTATTATGGACAATGCGCCATACCATTCCCGACAGAAAAACAAAATTCCGAATCCAGCACAAAAAAACAAGACATTATTGATTTTATGAAGGATAAGGGAATGGAAATACCACAAAAATCAACCAAAGCCATATTATTGGATCTTATTAAAAGACAAAAATTTGAAAAAGAGTATGTTGTTGACAATCTGCTTCAGCAAAATGGCCATGAAGTATTACGTCTACCTCCCTATTACTGCATTTTTAACCCGATTGAGTTGGTCTGGGCTGCTTTAAAAAAAAAAGTAAGAAAACATAATCAGACCCCTCAATTAAGTGAATCGCTATTGGCCACAATAAGAGATGCAGTATCTCATATTGCTGCCACAGACCTATGGAAACAGTGTTCTAGGCATATTATTCAAAAAGAAAATGAATATTGTGTTTTGCCTCCTGGAAATCCCGTTGTAATTCCTCTACAAGATGACTCTAGCGACAGCTCCGAAGGCGAGGATGATATATAAATACCTATAATGTAAGTCTTTATATACCTTTTTATATACCTACCTGCTATGTAAATATTTACCTATGTCAAACGTTGGAATTCTGTAATTTTTCCATTTCTTAACTTTCAGTCAACATAAATTAAACTCCCAATATAAGTGTTTTTTATCCCAAATCAAAAAAATAATAAGATAGTAAAATCCATTTATTGTGATATAAAAACATTATTATTATCGTTCTAAATAAATGCCGCACGCCTATGATACGTCATGAAATTACAAAGGACGCGCCGACCAAAGGTTTTTATGCTATTTCAAGTGACTTCAGATACACCATACCTATCTGATTTTATCTCGGATGATTTTTGGATGCGCAAATATAACTTTAGGTTTAACATTCAAGCAGAATACGTTAATCATTTTGGTGAACTAGTTCAATAGATGGCGTTCACTAAAGCGAATATAATCAAATGTTTGGATCAAAGTTCCTTCATCCTTGCAATTACTTTTGTCATCATTCTAAAATAGTTATTGATTATAATAAAACCTCATACAAAATAAGTTGTGATATAGTAAAATTGGTATAATCATGGCCGACTTTCTGTAATTTTAACTCAAACTTATACTACATCAGTGCTAGTACATTAAATTCAGAAACTCTAAATTCAAAGACACACAAATCTGTTGCCGACGTCGTGGGGTGCGCTTTCTCCAATGCTCGATGTGGCAACGTCGCCTCCGTATTGTCCGCATATCACCGTTCTCTCTCGCACGCACCTCGAACCTCAATCACTCAATCGCCGTCCGTAGCAGTCGGCTCTCCTCAAGCCTCAATTTCGCTGTCGCTCTTTGGCATTTCGCTGTTTCAGTCAGCCGCAGAGGTGCTGTCGGAGTAGGGACGTATGTTGTGATTGATTTACCGGAAGTGTCTTGTGCGGTGTGTGTGTGGCCTCCTGCGATCGTGTTGCTTTCCTGTCACAATCGCGAAAACATGGCCGAAGCCACAGGTGCTGCGGTGGTTACGCCAACGAATCCGAATGCCGAAGTCGTTCGTGGACAGGTCTTCGAAGTGGGGCCCCGGTACACGAATCTCGCCTACATTGGTGAAGGCGCTTACGGAATGGTCGTGTAAGTTGCCTGTTGTCCCATCTCTATTTTGATAATTCTACATTTCTCACACCCAAGACCAGATAAATAAACCGTATTTCTGAGAGACATTTTAGTCAAGAGTGTCTTGTACATTTCGTTTCTTGCTTTAAATCATAAGCCCTAATTGAGGAATTTTTATTCGGTAGATTTTTACATAGGTTTTTTGGAAGAAAGTGAGGTTATGTTGACTTGGATCCAAATTGAATCAATATACATTTTTGTAAATTTACCAGCAGACAATATGAACATGATAACTGCGATTAAAATGTACATACTTAACTGATATTACTTTCTCTTATCAAAAAGTGATAAATAGAATATCAGAATGACTAGCAGGAGTATAGCCTGGTTAATGTTGTATAAAGCAACAGATGAAATTAAACCTTGTTTTGCACAAAGTAAAGTCAGCGTTCAGCCAACGTACAGTAGTAGCCATGGGATTACTTTGTTGGTTTGACAGCAGTTTTATTTTGGCTGTCAGATTTGATAGCATGTCGATTAATGTTGCAAACTGTCAAAGCTATTCCATGGCTACTGCTATTCAGCACTGCACTGCTTTATGTTGGCTAAATAGTCCCAATGATTCCTCTTTCTAGATTTTGGAATTTTTCAGGTAGTACAAATTGCCTGCTTTCATGTTCTAATCAAGTGCAGGTATCAAAGTTGTTACGATGGTGAACAAATGGCAATATGAAAAAAAATTAAGCAATTATTGCATTCAGACAGAGTCTGGCTAAAGTAGACCAGTTCAGGGGTGCAGCTCAATTATGGTGAATAGCAGTAGCCATGGAATAGGGGCCATTCAAGTATTTCGTGAGCACTATGGGGGGGCAGGGGCTGTCTTTGCTTTGCTTATTTTGGATGACATAGGGAGTAGGGGAGTCTAGATGATGATTACATCATCGGTAGTTATTAACTTTTTTACACGAATGGCAACCCTCACATTGCTTGAAAACGAAACGCATTTTCGGGTATTCCCGCAAATAATGCGCTTTAGAACCGAGTAGGGGAATTACCGCGCGGTATTCACTAGTTTAAATTTCCTCTATCAGTGTATTGTTTCGTTTGGATACTATAGCGAGTAGACATATTGTAAACATAGTAAAGCAAGTTAACATTTGTGTTCCCATTGATTCCATTAGCCAAAGTTTAATGTTTAAATAAGATGTCGTTTCACATAGACAAATCCAAGTTATACCAAAAATTGTTTGAAAGTTTTAAAAAATCTCATACAAGTACGAAAGTACAAAATGTACAAAAGTTAGTTAACGAAGTGTGGCGAAATTACAAATTACAAGCAAAATCTGACAAGGAACTAAGGAACTAGATATTATTGTATCTAAGAGAATCGAAGAAGAATTGCAAGCGGCAACTAAGAATAAATCCAATCTACTAAATTTTTCTTCTAAGGTGAGTGACGAAATCATTTTAGGTACCTATGAGTACTAGAAATATTAGAAATAGCCAAAAAGTTTCTCTTTACTAATTAGAAAATATTATGGCCTATCTCAAAGTATAGAGGTAATATTCATTATATTATAGATTTATTTCTTATGATTGATTATGTCGATTGGTCACAAAGTACAGGATGTTAGTTTTATACATATAACTAACACCCTGTATTTTGTGACCGGAATTAATTGCTCGTTTAAACATATTATATTTAAAGCCATAGGGTTTTGTATTTACCATATATGTATATTGCCATACTTTGTATTTATGTAGCTTAATAAGAGAATCTTTAGCAGAAGCCATAGAAAGTTTTTGTTTTTAGGCAACCTGTAAACCTGCAGAAAAAACATAAATTATACAGTCAGCTTCAAATATTAAAAAAGAGGAAGAAGATAAAATAAAACCCGGTAATGAATCACAATAGCAATGCGAAATTAAAGAAAATACAGATAAACAGAGAGCAAAACCTTCTCAGGAAGCTATGAAAAATAAGATTGCTCTACTCGAAAATAATCTGAATGCTTTGTGTACTTGGACCAGATCAAGTATTTTTCATATCTCAAGATGATAAAGCTCGAGTCCCTATTGGCGTAACTGCGGCAAATAAGCAAGCACCTCTTCTAATGCACATGGAATATAGAATAAAATAATACCATCTGTTTGTGCTGGTATCAAAATCACTTCCAATATGCTAGGACAACCACAAGCTGTTGGATATTCTGAACCAACATACATCGCTATTCGAAGTGGAATGCATAGTTCATCTACTGCTAATACCCATGCTCAGGATTTCGAGACGCTTCTCGAACTTGAAGAGTTTCGACGATTAGCTAAAACTGACCATGGACTAGTAAAACCAGTGGTAATCATGACAGTTGATGGAGGGCCAGATGAAAATCCACGTTATCAAAAAGTCATAGGGTCTGCTATACAACACTTTATGCGACATGATCTTGATGCATTGTTTTTAGCTACCAATGCTCCTGGAAGAAGAGCGTATAGCAGAGTAGAGCGCAGAATGGCTCCTCTTTGTCGAGAACTGGCTAGTTTAATATTGCCTCATGACCATTTTGGGTCTCATTTGGATGAACGTGGCGTTACAATTGATGAACATTTAGAAAGATCTAATTTCGAATTTGCAGGAAATGTGTTAGCTGAAGTATGGAGTTCAATGGAAATTCCAGACATTAATTTGAATTTAATATATGTACTAAAAATTTAATATAAGTTTGTTATGTTAGTAAGATATAATATTTTTGTCCTTTACTCTATGTTGAATGTAATTATCATCAACACATACAACTGACAGCTTAGACCTCCAGTAATGCCACCTCAGAAGCAGATTTTACATCACATCAGAGCCAAAGATTGATAACAAGCCTCATGACGTTTAGGCAACACGTACAACTAAGTGCTAAGTCAACGTCTTGGCGAAAAACCTACATAATGTCAAAAAAAAAACAGCATATAGTCAAAAAAATTCGACATAATGTTACTTTTCAAGATACGTGATACCCGTGCCGGATGTTAAAATAATGCGGTTAAATAATGCATTACCTGTCTGCCGCAAGAAACGTGCTGCTATTGTAAATGTAACTGAGAGAGGTTATTACTGCTCGGGGACGTAATGCTTCAAAAACACAGTACTGTACCTTGACGAACAAGAAGCGTCCTAGTGCTCATCCGATTTCGATGGACGGCCGAAATCTACCTATGAACCGCTCGCTTTGATTGGTCGGAGTCGATTATTTTCAGAGTTCTCAACTATTTTCGAACAGTTCTACAGTTCTCAGTGTCTAACAGTCTAATCATATTAGCAAATTTACCAGAAATAATTGTAAAGCCTGGTTTTATTGATGCAAGTTGCTCACGCATAAAATGGGTACACCCATTTTTGTGAGAAAACTTTTTATTCGATAATAAAGTATGAGAAAACGCGTTTTTTTGGGATTCAATTGAAAGTGTTGGCGGGAACGAAAAAACTCTTTAAATAAAATTTTTAGGTATTTATGAGACCTACAGAATGATACCACACGTAAAAAGATCTCGCTAATAGTAAAAAAAGTTATGGCCGAAAACCGATGTAGAATGCAGGTTTTAGCACTTGTTGTTAATACGACTATAATTCCACGCAGCTACTTGAAATTCTTCAAATCCGAAGGCTTTTAACTTCTAAATACAACAAAAAAAAGTAGTTTTTGAAAATTCCTAATTGTTGTTCGTTCAAAGGGCTTTTTATAGCAAAATATACCGGTTTATCTTGCCTACATGAATCACAAGTCATTCTGAAAGATACATGCTATTTTGATGCGAAAAACGAAGGGTTAGGTTTTTTCTTCTAAGGGGCCGTTCAAGTATTACGTAAGCAGATTCATTACAATTATTTACCCCCCCACCCCCCTTGTCAGCAAAAGTAAGCAAAGCTCTTACCCCCTCCCCCCATGCTTACGTAAACATTTGTCAATTAATGTATTGTTTTTTTTAATATTATAATTATAACGTTATAATTATAATTTGAAAAATAAGAAGATAGATTTAGGATAGAGATTATATTTTACTGATACGGTATTCAACATAGAGTAAAGGACAAAAATATTTATATCTTACTAACATAACAAACTTATTTTAAATTTTTGGTACATATATTAAATTCAAACTAACAGTCTTCAGTCCATGAAATCCAAATCCATGATTCTAAGTTTTCGATGATATTGGATTGCTTCGATTGCTGCTCAGTGTTGTGAGTTTGTCTAACTTTCCTATCAGTGTGCGTGTTTACTTTTTTATGGATATTTTCGATGTGACGATTTAGTGACTTGACGTAAGCATGATAAAGACCACACGTTTTGCATGTTCGACTTGATAGCCTCAATTTTACCGTCGGACAAAAATAATCGTAGGGCATTTGCAGGAAATTTTTGAGTGAAGCACTTAAGCGTAAAGCTAAATTGACTGGAAGATTAAGAAATTGCCCTCCTTCATCCAAAACAAGTCATCAACTGTTTGTTTTACTTATACAGGTGGTTGAAGAAACCTATTGTCTAGTAATCTAAATAGGCCACTTCTTGGACGACAGCATTCTGTATTTCTACATTTTACAATTTGAAGCAAGTATTGGCTCTCACGCACATGTTCTGAATACCATTTCATGTCTGGAAAATCAGGAAGATCTTGTTCACCTGCCCCAACATATTTTGCATTAACACTATACCCATCAATTTCCATTGAACTCCATACTTCAGCAAATTCGAAATTAGATCTTTCTAATTGTTGATCAAATGAGACCCAAAATGGTCATGAGGCAATATTAAACCAGCCAGTTCCCGACTAAGAGGAGCCATTGCGCGCTCTACTCTGTTATACGCACTTCTTCCAGGAGCATTGGTAGCTAAAAACAATGCATCGAGATCATGTCGCTCAAAATGTTGTATGGGTGAATATCAGTTATTGGGGGATTCAATGTTCCTGCAAAAAAATCTTAATCCAATGGACAAATTGTGGAAATAGACCATTCAAATAGTGGAAGATGTCAATCTTTATTTGGAACATATGGCGCAGATGAGGTAACCATTAAGATTTAGGAAAAATCTGATTGAAAGTTAACAAAATGTATACTCCCCTGGCATGTTCCATTCCCAAATTTCACCTCAAACATCAACAAATCTCTGTATTATGTACTGGTATAACAATAAGCGGATACTCTTTGTATTACCTAATACATCTGATAACATATTTTCGCAAAAAGGCACACTAAAAATATACATAAATGCGTAAAAAATCCCGTTTATTAGTGGTTCCTGAGAACAGTGTCACCCTCACCTGGCGCAATTCAAATTGCATATATTCATCAAAATATGGCAACTATGCGACTTTACCTTGAGCAGCAAGTAGCAAATGAAGAAGGGATAGTGCGAAACTATCGTAATTTGGAAGACGAAGACCAGGGACGCGTCAGTAGCCCACTAACAGTCGCCCGATACCCTTTTGCCAGTGAGTGAAGCATTTCCCCTGGTAAGCATATCTTTGTGAATGTAAAAGTTACATTTTTGCGACTTTATAAAAAATTAAGATTTTTGAATACAAAAGCCACGAATCACGTTAAAATAATATAATAATCAACATATCTTGCTTTTTTGGGGCTTACGCATGTTTTTGTCACTTCCCTGGCGTCACTCCCCAGGCATTTTTTATGTCAGGGGAAATACACACTGCCCAGGGGAAATACAAAGGCACCTTTTTGTAGAAGATGTGTAGCTACTATACCAAATTCAACTTCAAGAGGCAGTAGATCTGAAATGGGTCAGGCATGAGGGGCCGGGCCAGACACGACCAGACGCCTAGGGCCGTATTCAGTGATCAAACGCTCATTGTCAGTGTTCATACCAATCTGTTACATCAATCAGCGGGCTGCACCTAAGAAGTTGCCTGGCCCAGTTTAGGGCTCTGATCGGCCTGCTTCCTGCTCTTGAAGTTGAATGTGGTATAGACACTATTTCATTAATTTCAGGTACCAAAAAAAAACATAACTCGCTAAAATGGCAAAATTATAAAAAAGCAAACCCGAGAGTAAAGATTGGAGAAAAAACGCCAAGCAGAAAGACCACGCGACCAGCGAATTAAAAATGATCCAATCAAGAATGCTGAGTTAAAAGAAAAAGAAAAAGAGAAGTATCACAGAAAGAAGGAAAAAGTACAAGTTAGAAGTATAAAAGATCTGACAGATAGGGAACAGCGAGCTATGAGAAAGATATGGAGAGAGCAAACTGAAAGATATAGGGATCGTGTGAGGCAAAAAACTATTGTTAATTATCCAGAGTCACCGCCGCCTTCGGACCACGAAGATCCACACTTCGATCCTCAAATATTGGACAATAGAGCTTCAGGTGCCAATAGACCCTCAGAAAAACAGAGGAAACGGATAAATGAGCTTATCAAAAAACAAAAAAACGAAATTGATCGATTAAAAAACAAGGTGAAGAGATTTCAAAGGAAACTAGATCACGTAAGAAGTCTAAAAATGTCACCAAAGTCGAAAGTGGACCGATTACTAAAAAAAAAAAACGAAACCAAGTAATCAGGAGAACGAGGAAGAAGCATCTGTCATTCAGTAAGGTAGTTCAAAATCAACTAAAAGAAAATATAAAGCACGTAAGACACGTAAAGTATTGAGTGGTAGGTTTGTTAGAAAGTACAATGTTTTAAGTCAAATTGATATGAAGCCTGTGAAACGATAACCCACTGTGGGAGAGGTTTGATAGACGTGACAAGGAGAATAAGAATGAATGAAACTAGAGAGAAGATAAAGAACGTAATTAAATTTTTTTTTGAAGGAGACTGCAACAGTCGCTTATGCGCAGGAAAAAATGACTACATTACGAAAAACAAAGTAAAAAACAAAAGAGGGTTTTACTAGACTCAATGAAGCATTTACACGAACGGTTCGTTAAAAACAAAGGAGTGCCGATAAGTTATACTTCATTTTGACGTTTGAGACCTTTTTGGATTGTATATCCAAACGTTCATAGAAGAGAAACATGCTTGTGTGTAATTCATGCAAATATGGAGTTGATTTTGCTCTCTTTAAGAAGAACGAAAATTATAGGCTTTATGAGTTTTCAAGCAATGCTAAATTACTATCTATCGCATGACATTTCCGACATAAATTTGGAAAAGTATTAGAAAGACTGCCGGTGCCAAATATAGTAATGAGAGGAAATAAATTATTTTATAAATTCACACTCCTATAACTGTATTCGAAAAATGAGTATCTACTCGAATTCATAAAAAATCGGGTTATAAATATGTTAATTTTATTTTTATGCTAGCTAACATTTTTATTTATAAGCACTGATTGCGATTCAAAGACTGACCATAAGTATTATGTCAATTTTTTGTTTTAAGTTTTTATAATTTGATTTCTATTATTATTATTATTATTATTATTATTACTATTATTATTATTATTACTCAGGTACCAGATTGCTATCTATATTAAGTTGCAAGATATAAACAGCTATAGTGGTTTTTATTTATATTACTTCTTGTGTGAGCAGGGTTCACTCAGTTGATCCAAATGTTATTTTTTAAGAGACTAATAGAACATGTAGGATTTTGTTATTTTCAATAACTTATTTACCTATTGGTATTTATATTCTTTTATAAAGTGTCCTTTAAGATCATTCACATGAGAAGTTGTCACTCTTCTGTCTCAGTTTGTCACTACCCTGTGTATAGTGTCACTCCCCTGACTACACATTTTCCCCTGGTAGCTGTAAAAACTCTAAAAATCAAAAAACTATCTGGTCCTGTCAAAGATGCATCACAAATAGTATAATCTTAAGAGGTAATGAATGTGAAACTGAAATGAGTAATTTTTCTTAGGTACCACTAAAAACCCAAATACCTGATATTCACCCGTATAGCAAACCCTATGACTTTTTGATAACGTGGATTTTTATCTGGCCCTCCATCAATCGTCATAATTACCACTGGTTTTACTAGTCCATGGTCAGTTTTAGTTAATGGTCGAAACTCTTCAAGTTCGAGAAGCGTCTCGAAATCCTGAGCATGAGTATTAGCAGTAGATGAGCTATGCTTTCCACTTCGAATAGCGATGTATGTTGGTCCAGAATATCCAACAGCTTGCGGTTGTCCTAGCATATTGGAAGTGATTTTGATACCAGCATAAACAGATGGTATTAATTTATTATTTGCCGCAGTTACGCCAATAGGGACTCGAGCTTTATCATCTTGAGATATGAAAAATACTTGATCTGGTCCAAGTATGGATGCTATGTTCTCTAAATAATGGATTGATGTTTCAGCGAACTTGCTATCTAAGTGACTCTTGTGGTGATCAGTTTGAGCCCGAATGAGCTTAACATGGACTGTCGATTCATGTCTTCGTTCCTCTGCAGAATTAGATTTTCTGGGAATCAAACGAAGATATTTCCCACTGCGACTAATGTCAAATCCTATTTTACGCAATTCTTGTGTGAGTTCATCAAGAGTTTTTACGCTGCGAATTGATTCCGTTCGTCTTCTATCATCTGCTGCACTCCCAAATAAACCTATATCCGCGATTGTTTTCAATAATGAATGTTGATTGCTTTCAAGAGTAGGACGACTCACTGAATCCCTCAGAGATAGTCTTTCTGTATTTCTGGATTTTCATGACAAATATCTTCTAACTTTCTTTTCATACCATCCCTGTGTTTCTTCTGGGCAACTGCGTTTTGAACCTTCCTGTTTAAAGACTGTTTTGCTGTTTTTATTTCCTCGCGCAACTTAATGATCTGTTTATAAACTTCAGCACGGCTTGGCATAGTATCTCTGGCAGAATACAAAGCATTCAGATTTTTTCGAGTAGAGCAATCTTATTTTTCATAGCTTCCTGAGAAGGTTTGCTCTCTGTTTATCTGTATATTCATTAATTTCGCATTGCTGTTGTGATTCATTACCGGGTTTTATTTTATCTTCTTCCTCTTTTTAATATTTGAAGCTGACTGTATGATTTGTATTTTTTCTGCAGGTTTACAGGTTGCCTAAAAATAAAAACTTTCTATGGATTCTGCTAAAGATTCTCTTATTAAGCTACATAAATACAAAGTATGGCAATATATATGGTAAATACAAAACCCTATGGCTTTAAATCTAATATGTTTAAACGAGCACTTCGTTCCGGTCACAAAATACAGCGTGTTAGTTTTCTGTATATATGTATAAAACTAACATCCTGTACTTTGTGACCAATTGACGGAATCAATCATAAGAAATAAATCTATAATATAATGAATATTACCTCTACAGGGTTATCCAAATTAAGTGTCCACCATTAGTAACTTTGTTATTAGTGAAAATACAAAGTTGTTTGAATTAGCAAACTAGTAGCATTTTTAACGCTGGTAAAAATGAGAAATAAAAAAAAACAATTGAGAGTCGTTATTTTGATTTTTTCAGTCAAATAACATTTTTTTAAATGGAAACCCCTGTATATTATATTTTTTTCTGTTAAAGCATCAAATTTTAAACAAAAAAGTTCATAATGACTTTTCCGCTAAAGTCAAAAATAAAGTCAAAATAACGATAAATATTTTTAATTATTTGCACTATTATAATATTAAGACGGCTATGAAAACAACATGGCGTTCGCGATTTGACAGCATTAAGATAAGCGACAAATTGTTAAACTGGACATACTCGCAACTAGAAGGCTTGGAAAACAATGATAAAATCAAATAATGTCAAACATTAGTGTAAATACTTGTTTATAAGCTTTATTGTGTCATTAATTTAAAGAAAAATGTTCTCCCATGAAGAAAAGTGTGATATGTTAGAATGCTATTTAGTGTGCAGAAAATCCTCCTTGAGAGCAAGAGAATACTACAGTGAATTATATCCCGCTCGCATTCAACCGTATGAACGATATTTTCTGAGACTTTATCGAAAATTTAGTGGCAACGAAAATGTTTTTGCTAAAACAAGGGCAAAAAAAGAATTCATAATAAGCGAGGCCACGGAAATTGCAGTTATTGGATATTTTGAAGCTTATCGTGAGAATTCAATAGCAGATATTCTCAAGGACTCTAATTCCAGTTATGGTACTGTTCAAAGGATTTTAAAAAAATACAAATTTATTCCGTATAAGTACCGACCAGTTCAAACGCTTTTGGCAGGGGATCTAGAGAGAAGACTTGTTTTTTGCCATTGGTATCTTAGCTTCTGTCGCCAAAATGTAAATAACTTTCGTTACCTTTTATGGACAGATGAATCAAATTTTTCAAATTCTGGAATGTTTAATAGAAAAAACCACCATTATTGGTCAAGAGAAAATCTTTTGTTAGTACATCCAAGAGGCACACAAGTCCGTTTCAGTTTCAACGTTTGGTGCGGTATAATTGGTTCAAAAATTATTGGCCCGTTCTTTTATGAGGGAACCCTAACTGGTGAAAGATATGTGGAATTTATGTCAGAAATTCTGACTAATTTCTTAGACGAATTGGATCTTATAAGTAGACATCATCTGCATTTTCAGCAAGATGGCGCACCTGCCCACAACTCCAGAGGTACTTATCATTTTCTAAGTACTACTTTTAATGATCAGTGGATAGGAACAAATGGCCCAATACAGTGGCCTCCCAGATCACCAGATCTAAACCCACTTGATTACTTCTTGTGGGGTTACTTAAACAACCAAATTTACAAGCGAAGGTACGATAACCTTGACGCGTTAAAGACTGCAGTTAGGGAAAAGATAACCCAGATAGATGGTAGGACCATACTTAAGACAGTTCGAGCAGTTGAAAAACGTGCCCAAAAATGTATTGAAGAACAAGGTGGTGTTTTCGAGCATCTTCTTTAAAAAAATTGTTATTGTATTTTGTAAGATTATAAGTTGATGTTGAAAATAAAGTTTGTCGATACAATTTAATTGTTTCAGATTGGAGGCCATAACTTCAACAATTTGTAACCTAGGAGAAAAGTTATTGTAAGCTTTTTTGTTTAAAATGTGATGCTTTAACAGAAAAAAATATAATATACAGGGGTTTCCATTTAAAAAAATGTTATTTTACTGAAAAAAATCAAAATAACGACTCTCAATTGTTTTTTTTTATTTCTCATTTTTACCAGCGTTAAAAATGCTACTAGTTTGCTAATTCAAACAACTTTGTATTTTCACTAATAACAAAGTTACTAATGGTGGACACTTAATTTGGATAACCCTGTATACTTTGAGATAGGCCATAATATTTTCTAATCAGTAAAAAGAAACTTTTTGGCGATTTCTAATATTTCTAGTACTCATAGGTACCTAAAATGATTTCGTCACTCACATTAGAAAAAAAATTTGGTAGATTGGATTTATTCTTAGTCGCCGCTTGCAATTCTTCTTCGATTCTCTGAAGCCGCCGGCCTTGCCGCGCAAAGGAGCCGCCGTGGTGTGCCGGCGGGTTACGCGGCTTGCCGGCGTCACTTCGTTCCTGGCATTCGAGCGGTGGTGTTGTGCGGTTTGTGTGTTTAAACAAATTAAAATGTCATTTAATTGGGACGACGAAGCTGTGCTGCTCTTAATTG